GACCAGAGAGTGGAGTTCCCACAGACCGTTCTTACAGAAACCATACGTAAACAGCTCTATCGATGTTATCATTGTTGAATAATTTCGCGTAATTTCTGTTCAGTTTGCCTCTTGGTCAACTTTGAAAACAAATTTTCTCTGCTTTTTTTCATTCTTTACCCACCCACGAATTGAGTTGGTTTCACCTTTCTTGACACAGTCGATCGCTGCTAGTTTTTTACATATGGACAGACTGCATAGGTTTCGCTTAGACATGCTGCTCAGTTGAAAACTCAAGATCAGAGTGATTGTTTAAACTCATTGTAGTGAGTTTTAAAAAGCTATATCATTGGGAAGTATGAGAAGTCGTGACTTGACGCCACCGTCGACACCTTGAGTCTAAGCGCCGTCAACCTTTGTACCACAGTAATTGATGGACAGTAGATGTTAAGTTGTCTCCTTCCGCCTTTTAACGACGGCCAATTAAATACAAAATGCAACAAAACATTTGTTCTTTCAATTCAAAACTGCCGGCAAAACACAATAAAATTTTTGAGAGCCATCCAACTCCCAAAACTTGCCAAAATCACGACTTACTGAGACACGACTTAGCGAGGGGGTCACTTTATATCAAGCTAAACCCTAAACATAATGCCAAAACACATTTACCTTTAAACTGACTTCAATAGCATTTCATTTGCCGTCTTATTAGCTCCATGATTATTAAAAATATACAAATTTTAGCTTTACTTATGATAGATCGCAAATCATTAATTGCATTGTTATGATTGCTTTAGTTGTGGCATTGCAAATTATCAGGATTATGTGAACTTACCCAGCTGGGTCATTAAAATATGTGTTGTCAACATGTGCCCGTAATCCTTCAGAGGTATATGCAGTGTCCAACATTTGTAAATTGGATGAGAAACTCCACATTTTACCATACAAAGTCACACGAACATAACTTATTCGTTCTGCGACTTTCTGACAAAGCAAAAACAAAAAGAAAACAATTCATCAATGCCAAAACAGACATATATATATATATATATATATATATGAGTATTGCAATATCATGAATTATGAGTTTAATACTATGGTGATATCATGCATTATGAATAAGTATAGTGATATCATGAACCATGTGACTATGGTGATATCATGAATCGTGAGTGACTATGGTGATATAATGAATCGTGAGTGACTATGGTGATATCATGAATCGTGAGTGACTGATGATATCATGAATTGTGAGTGACTGGTGATATCATGAATCGTGAGTGACTATGGTGATATCATGAATCGTGAGTGACTGATGATATCATGAATCGTGAGTGACTATGGTGATATAATGAATCGTGAGTGACTATGGTGATATAATGAATCGTGAGTGACTGATGATATCATGAATCGTGAGTGACTGGTGATATCATGAATCGTGAGTGACTATGGTGATATCAATGAATCGTGAGTGACTGATGATATCATGAATTGTGAGTGACTGGTGATATCATGAATCGTGAGTGACTATGGTGATATCATGAATCGTGAGTGACTGATGATATCATGAATCGTGAGTGACTATGGTGATATAATGAATCGTGAGTGACTGATGATATCATGAATCGTGAGTGACTGGTGATATCATGAATCGTGAGTGACTATGG